GCTGGAGCTGTACAATATATTAGTCTTTGCAGTGACTGTAAATCTCTAGGCTTTACATCTTCTGCATTGATTACTGCGTAGGCCAGGAAGGGACTCTGCTAATCATGATAATGCTTTGATATTTCACAGCAGTGCTGAGTTTATCCAATAACTCACCAGGGTTTTGGGGACACAACAGGGTTGTTTTTTTTGTTTTTTGTTTTTTTAGATGTGAGCCGTGTGGCTTCCCAGAATAATGTGTCTATTAAAGAAACACTATAGGGACAGAAATAGAAACATGTATTCCTGACATAATTTTAAAAACACTGTTTAGGTGTTCACCCCCTACGTTACAAAAGTGTTAAACTCCCCTTATTTCCAGCGCCACACGGGTACTGTCTGCTGGCCCTGCCTTTGCCTCACCTCCTTGCCTGAGATCGTCAAATTTGGCAATGTCAGCCAATTTAATACTTTCCCATGGGAAAGCATGGGGAGGCAATTGCACATGCGCAGCAAAACGCCATGCTGCACCAAGCAGCATCTCCCCATAGAAATGCAATGAATCAATGCATCTCTAGGGAGAACGTTCCATGGATCATGACTGCCACTAGAAGTGGTCCTTGGCAGTAATGCAAACACTGCCTTTTCTCTCAAAAGGCAGTTTTTACATTAAAAATCCTACAGGTACGGGGGGGCGTAGTCTGACCGCCGAGCTGCACGGACGCATCAGACACGAGCTCCGGCGGGCGGAATACTGGGCAATAAGCGACGGCTATCCAGCCCAAAACTATCCGAGGGTGCCCCGCTGAACCCAACACCACCACCCCGGGGCCTGCCGAAGCCGGGAACGCAGAAATTCAAATGCGGCCTACTGGGTCTGAAGCCGAGGGGAGACGGACGCTCTCCACGGCGCAAAAGTCCACAAGCGACCTCACCTCAGCCTTCCCCCTCTGGACCGGTGGGGGACATCCCGGTCCCCACTGGACCTGTAGACCAGTATGGAAAACGAGCAAGCCAGCTACACAACATGGTGGGGCAACAAACCTACAAGGACCAGCCAAAATGGCCACCGAGCATGAACCTAGAAAGCGGAACACCCACTCTAAACCACATATGTCCCCCATGGAAATCTTTGGCCTCTGCGCAGGCCTCAGGGCAGCTCTGCGCAGCCAAGGGGCAACCCACCGCCAAGCTGACCAAACGGTGGCCTTGTGGATATGTCCAGCAGCTCGAGGCAGCTCCTACAGGCAGGTACCCTGAGCCTCCAAAATGGCTGTCCGGTAGCGCAGATACCGGAGGGCTTAGAGGCGGGAAAAGGCGCCATTCCTCTCGGGCACATGCTCCCACCCGCATATAAGCAATACTGGTTCTATAAAACAAGTGACGTACGCAAATATCCTACCCGACCAAACTCCTGGCTACCAATGCCGCACTAAGCACCTCTTCCTAGCCAACGCTGCATCACGGGTGGCTGCGCGGCTACACACCATGAGGAGACTTACCGGAGCTGATCCCCAAATTGGAGACACCGGGCCCTGCGGCCGCAAGGAAGGGACTAGCAACAACAGCACACAGGACAAACTAGCGCTGGGCATAGGTTGAAGTGCCTACCACACTGCCTCACAAGTGTATTTATTGCCTGGTCTGCTCCGATTGAATACCCAGACACAGAAGCCCCATACGATTTCACCAAATCTGGCGAGAATAAGACACCTGACTAACCACCCAGTGGAACCATGTTTTCTTTGTAGTTGAGAAGGCAGTAACATGCCTTGTATGTTTTTGCTTTTATAATCTATGCCTTAACTGCTTTGCTCCAGACTCCATCTATCTACACTGAACTTAAACACGTGTTTCATAGTATTTGTATATAATCGCATATCTAGACTGCACTGCTAGTTTCAATACTGAATTTCACCTGAATAACATAGATATGTGCCTAGCTTGTACCAAACAGTTTTAAGCTTGCACTTGGCTTGTATTATCAACCTATAAAAAAAAGTGCGCTTTCTCAGAATGCTATACAACTATTACCGAATATGTGTTTTCGAATTGTTTGCGAATGCTGTTGTGGCATTGCTGCCATGCGAATGTTATTCCATGCACAACAAAAATAAAGAATTAAAAAATCCTACAGGTACAGACAGTAGACACCAGAACAACGATATTAAGCTGTAATTGTTCTGGTGACTATAGTGCTCCTTTAAGTGAATACATTCTATACAGTTGTATTAATGGAGATTTATGGGAACAGAAAGTGTTTCAGAAAGTTTGTTTAATTGTAAATGTTCTACTGTAGAAATGTAGCAGGTGACCTACAACACTCAGAATGCCATCACACCATGTTTTGCAGTATTTTAGAATGAAAACCCTACAGGGTAGGAATGAGGGGTGGAAAGGGTAGGCTATGGGGGGGGGGCAATTAACTAAAACAAATTCACTAAACTAATTATAAAATAAAAATTTTAAAAACCTCTTTCCGTGTAGCAAACTATACCCTGTAAAACACATTCTAGAGCATTCTGCGTTCTACAGCAGGGGTGCCCAAAGGTAGATCCCCAGATGTTTTAAAACTACAGCTTCCATGATGCTTTGTCATTCTAAAGACATTCCAAAAGGCATGCAAAGCATCATGGGAGTTGCAGTTCTACAACATCTGGGGATCTACCAATTGGGCACCCATGTTCTAGAGCATTCTAATTAGTTCTTCCAGTACTGTGAGAAATGGTCATTCCAGCCAGGCTAACAAAGTGTGGTTAGGTGATATTTATATTCTGAATATAAATGTATGAACACAGGGTGTTGGAGCGCAAGAAACGGGCGGTTCAGAGAGCGGAGGAGCAGCTGATGAGATTGGAGGTGCATGCAACTGACCGAGAGGAAAATAAGCAGATTGCCCTGAGCACCTCCAAGTTAAACTATCTGGACCCCAGAATTTCTGTAGCCTGGTGAGTGAATCTTTATTTTGTTTTTTTGGTTGGTTCTTGTGTGCTTTCCATGGCCGTTTCAGTATTGGACAGCCTAAAAAAGATACTGAGAGGGAACAATTGTTCACAGGGAGAGCTGTGAAAGACGGGCTTTTGTTTGGCCGAAAATCTACATTTTGTTATTAAAAATGAAATAAAAATTAAACCGTTAAAATAAAAAAACGAACACACCCTGCTTGCATTTTCATTGTGTCCGCTCTTTCCTCTATGGCGATATAACGCAAAAAAGTTTGCATCTAAAATCAGCAAAATGACTAGCTAAAATCACCCCGGGGAGTGAGGGCCGCTGTTAGAAGCACTAATCAGAGCTGTATTTATCTCCCGGGTACTTGGTAACTTTCAGGCTGCAGATAGGAGCTATTTGCTGATTTTCACAGCAGACGCAAGCTTCATTTTAGTTTGGCCTTCTGCTATCTGGGAAGTTAATGGTAACAAGAGGTCGGTCTGGTGATGAGAAGAACGTGGAGTTCTTTGTAAATGGCTACAACTGCTCAGCCCAACTTGCAACAAGTTTAAATTGATGAAAATGAGTCCTGTTTTTTTCCATTTATATTCCGTATTTCTCTTAAAGTGACCCTAACACATTCAGGATGGAACAAAGCAAACTTTTAGCTATCATCTCATACAGGACTCCTTCAGTTCTGGGTGCAGAGGGACTGGAAAAGACCACTGCCTTTAAATGCCCCCTTACTTTAACCCAGTATCTCTTTTGACGTGGTGTGTGCCTCTCGGTAACGCAGTGTACATTAATCAGTCTTCTGTTCTTTAGGTGTAAGAAGTGGAATGTAAGTCTGGAAAAAATCTACAACAAGACACTGAGAGACAAGTTTGCATGGGCAATCGATATGGCAGACACAGACTTTACTTTCTGACCCAACCCTGATCACTACATCTTATTTATTTTAACATTAACATTGATATTTTAACAGTTCTGTATCTGATCTGTAACTACAACGTTGTAATTTGCGGGCTCAGGAATTTAACGTGTGTGTGTTGTGTGGTTCTTTTAACTTTTTATCAATGTTTTGTACTTTGTTAGACTATAATAATAAACATGTTTTAATAAATAGACTCTTCTCTGTTTAAAGAAAAGTGTTCCTATTTTTCTGTCCTATGTGGTCCTTTTTTACTTGCCTGATTTTTTTTTGATTTTTTTTTACTATTAATACAAATTAGATTTATTTTTTGTTTTACATTTTCTCTATCAATTTAAGCAAAGAAGGGAAACACATGCCTGCTTGTCGTACAGCGATCTGAGGGAGAAGCTACAGGGAGATGCAATATAAAGGAACATTTAAGCACTATAGCATTTAGTATGCTGTAAGTAGTCAACCCATTGAGTGCTGGATGTACCTGCAGGGATCTTCCGTTGGATCTGCAGAGCAGCTGATTGCTCTCCCCCAAAGAGAGAAGTCTAACGGGCATAACTCATTTCAGAATGGACAATCTTAGCCAAAGCCAATCCAATTGACTGAGATTGTCCGTTCTGATTACCTCTGCCAAACAGGCGGGGCGGAGTCAAACACTGCCCTAGCCAATCAGCATCTCCTCATAGAGATATATTAAATCATTGAAGTTCAGCGACTTCATACTAAGCATGAAGACACTGAATGCCGCAATAAACTAGGAAGCACCTCTAGTGGCCGCCTGAGTGACTGTGACTAGAGGTGTTCTTAGGCAGTAATGTAAACACTGACTTTTCTCTGAAATGATAGTGTTTACAGCAAAAAGCCTGCAGGGACTGACTACACTCATTAGAACAATATTATGCTGTAGTTGTTGTCAGTGGTGTATTTTGGATTTGTGCTGCCCTAGGCACGACTAAATTCGGGCAACCCCAAAATATAAATTTGACACCCCAAATTGTGTTAAGGCCACCTTTTTGACTGACAGACACATGCCCTCATTTATACATGCATTGTTATACACTCACTGACAGATACAGTCATTGGCACACACTGTTTAACCAACACACACTTTCACTGACAGACACACACTCTCAGATACACATAAATTGACATACACACACTGACACACTGACACACTCACAGGCACACCCATTCTCACTGGAAAAGCACACACTTTCACTCACTCACAGACACACACTGACAGCTACACTCACTCACTCACTCTCTGTAAGGTGGACAGCCCCAGAACATGATGCAAACAAGGCATTTGTCTGGGAGCGTGGGGTGGCATTTTTGGCACCCCCCCTGAAAGTGCTGCCCTAGGCAAATGCCTTGTTTGCCTTGTGGTAAATACATCCCTGGTTGTTGTGGTGACTACCGTGCCCCTTTAAATGGACCTTCCCATGGTGCAAGCCACAATCCATCTTTCTTCTGGCATCCCTCTTTACTTCCTGGAGCTTTATCTGCCAGGTGCCGTATCATTATCTTACACTCAGACATACGCAAGAGTACAACACAGAGGTCTACTGACAATCCCACAGGCATACCAAATCATCAGAAGAAGTTCTAATGCATTGCAAGAGAAGTAGTCTATGGATGGCTGTGGATAAAGACCAAATCTTACTTTGTTTGTGGGCAGAAGGAGTCTAGAGACCAAACTGGGATGACTGTATGGTCTTGCTCATCTAAATAGTGCAATGGTTGGCTGTGGTAACAAATTTGCAAGAATGTTGACACATGCTAAAGAGAGGAAAAGGGGGCAGAGTTTCTCCATAGCAGCAACGTAATCGAAACTGGGAATTGTCTTTAAAATACATGGGTCTCTCTTTCTGCATTTCCCAATTACTCAACTTATTAAAATGACATCATAATTTCTAACCCGCTTCTTACACACCAATCTAATTCTGTTCCGCACCTGCAGGAAAACTCCGCAGTTGTCCTTTTTATTAAGGTCCTATCAATTTGTCAGTTTCACTTGACAGTGACCTGCTTTGCTGACTTCACTGCCCGTGTTGGTACGGAAGCCAAATATAATGTGACAGCAGATCTGCAGGAGAGAAACGAAATGCACATATGTTTAATCACTGACATTTTAAAGCTGTGACTTCACAGGGCATTTAATAAACTATGGAATTTCAGGTTGGTTGCCCACACCCTAACCATAAAGGATTTATTCATAGGCTTTAATTTGGGGGGATGGTTAATTCTATCCGGTAGATGTGACAGGCTGAAAATTATTGAAAATGGTTCTTATGACAGCCAGACATAGGGCTGTGGCTAGGTAATTGAGGAGAAATATGTGCACTGATAGAAGATCCTCTCTTGTGGCTTGACTGTGGACTCCAAGAACAGTAGAACAATGCTAAAGCAGGGCCAAGGTGGAACAGCACCCCCTAATGCTCCATATCTGTTATTCAGAAAGTGGAACAATTATTTTATTTCCTTTACAATCTTCCAGTGCAAGTTGTAAAGGTGAATGAGTATTTTGGGGCGAGGGGAGTTAAAAGGAGCTGGGTATCTTACTCAAAACACGATTGTAGTAACTCATCCAAGGGGAGAACAAGAAACAATTCTGGTTCTGTCTGTTTCCACTGATTTTAATAGATTGTACAAGGAATGGCTCGCGTCGCTTGCCTTACCACGTGAATAGATTTCTGACAATGCTAGAATTAGTAAAGAGTATAAAATATCTTACACAATACCCACTCCTCATCCCACCTTTTCTCTCCTATGTATACTTTATTTCTGTCTCTGCATTTATCCTGTTGTGATTAACATGTTTCTATGACACTCCAGAACAGGGGTGGGGAACCTTCGGCCCTCCAGATGTTTTGTTTTAAATGATTTTTTTAATTTGCCTTGTAATGTAAAAGCAGTTAACAAACAGGTTACTATATAGAGCATAAGGTTGCCTACGCAGAGGCATAGATGTCAAAAGAGGTGAACATAACCGGTACAGCCATATTAATTAAGCAGGTGTGCACTCTGCGTATTTAAAAACATATCATCATCCCTCGAAAAAAAAACCCTCCCTCCTCCCCCCTCTTTATACCTTTCCCACTTCTCTTTCTCTATCTCTGTCTAACTAGATATCACAATGATAAACATGACAGTCTACAGCGTATCATATTCGTGAGTTTTGATATAGATAAAATGTACGTGGCAGGGGGTAAAACTGCGAAGTTTTATTCCTCCATATAATGGAGGCTTATGTTATGGAAGACAGGAGGTACCCTGTTTTACAATGTATGTGTTAACTCTTGCAAAATGTGCAATGCTCTCGAGTTGTACATGTTATCTTTGTCAACATAAATAATTAAAAAAAAACAAAAAAACATATCATCGGGGGCAGGTAGCACATGGTTCGGTATGTCTAGGCAGGTACGTATATCTTCCTGTTTCCCTAGCTGCGATCGTGTAATTAAGCAAACCGTTCGATCAAGTCATAACAATATATAGTTTTCCCACACAGGGGACGGTGCTAAAATAGTGCATATCAAATGAGAGAACTGATATGGTGTCATATGTTTGCTACCTCTGTCTCACATCCTGTCTTCAGTGTTGTCTGTGTTGGTGTTTTGATTTAAATGGTTTTTATTGTTGATTCAGTGAGTATGGAGGTATCCAGCAAGTTACGGTATATGGCACATGGTCACCTGTGCAGGGGTTTACATGAACATAACCGGAACAATTATATTATTTCAGCTGGTGTGTATTTTGCAGACGTAAAGACAAGATATCAGGGGCAGGTAGATCATGGTTTATTTTGTCTAGATAGGTATATAGGCATTCCTGTTTCCCCTGCCTCATTAGATTTAGCAAAACTTTCAATGAAAAACATAACTTTTCTTAGTTTTCCTGCGCTGGGTATGGTGCTTATATACTGCGTATCCTTTAGATCAGGGGTTCTCAACCCAGTCCTCAGGACCCCCTACCAGTCCAGGATTTGGGGATTACCTGGGTGTGTCTCAGGTGTTTAGAAAAAGGGAAAAAAACACCTTAGACTCTAAGGTGTTTTTTTTTTTAATTTTTCTAAACACCTGAGACACACCCAGGTAATCCCCAAATCCTGGACTGGTAGGGGGTCCTGAGGACTAACGTTGAGAACCCCTGCTTTAGATGGACAGACACAGTGCCATATGGTCACTACCTTTGCCCCCTGTCCTGCCTGTAATAGTGTCTGGTTTGCGATAAATCGTGTTGTTTCAGGTGCAAACCCGTATGCGAACATAGGTAGTTGTATGGTACAACCTATGCATATAGGTTTATGTCGATTGTGTATGGTATGACTTGATGTGTGTGGTACAACGGTTTTGATCAGAGTTACGTGATGGCGTTGGTGGTATTCTAGATGAGGCATCGTGTCCATGCAGGGGCTGTTATATGAATGCGGGGTTTATACATCAGATTTCTTGTGATTGTGGTCAGCGTAGATGCTGTGTGGTGGTGATTTCAGTTAACGCTGAGACCAGGGTTTCCTACGTGGTATTCTGTTCGGGATGGGGTTCGTCTACTTGGTAGTCAGGTGTGTATGGGTGGTGTCCGTTGTTGGAAGAGTTGCTTGTTGGGACGCATGTGGAGTCTTAAGCGTTTGAGTGGGTTGATGTGTAGTTGAGTGGCGTGTATGTGTGGTGTCATGGGGTTAAGGCGCGTGGTCGACAGTTGTCCTTGGCTCTGTGTCTTGTTTTACGGTTGAAAGTAGGTATGTGTAGGGAAGGTCAGCTGTCAGTCTATGTCAGGGATAGTGGGTCAGGGAGGGTGGTAAGTGGGAAAGGGATGGGGAAAGAGGGATGTACTGAGGTGGGGGGGAGGAGGAATGAAGATGAGGGACAAAGGTAGGAAGGGGAGGACGGGTGGTGTGAACGTGTTGCCTCTCCGGCGTGTGCGGTTTCCCCAGTCACCGCTCCGGGAGCTCGTCCTGTAGCATCTGCCGGTGCGTTCCATGCCTGTGTATCAGGTTTTCAGGTTGTGGTTAGCTGCTGCACAAACTCGGTTGAAATGATATGTCTCACCCAGTAGACTCAGCACTTTGTGTGTTTTTCATTTGCGCGCACTGTGGTTGCCTTCAGGTCTTCAAATTTCCTGGTATCCTCCACCTCCTCTACCCATCTTTTAATTGGGGGAGTGCACAGTGGTCTCCAATAGATGGGGATGATAGCTTTCACCGCCCTCCAGATGTTTTGGACTACATCTCCCTTGATGCTTTGTGAGCATTATGAGAAATGTAGTGCAAAACATCAAGGTTCCCCATCCTTTACGGTGCAAACTTAGAGTCCTGTGTGACTCACGTTTGTAAATGCATGCACCATCCTTAAGCATTGTGTTAAACAGATTGTCATGTTTTACCTGCAAAATAACATCCAGATAACTGGGAAAAACACAAAGCGATAATTCTGTAGTGTGAATATATTCCACTTAAAGGAACGCTATAGTATTAGGAATACAAAACTGTATTCCTAACAGTGTCCCCCAGTAAATAAAGAGTTAAAGCGTTTTTAGACTTCCCTGATTGCAGCAAGAATGTCTCTGTGCTCATTACCTTCCCCATAGCAAAGCATAACAACTCAATGCTTTCCTATGGGGTTGTGCTTGACATGCATATCTTGAGGACGCCCACAGTCGTTAAACAGCTAGAGGCAGTGTTAGCACTGCAATGTAAACATTAAAGGACAGAGGAACAGTGCACCCAGGTGACTTCAATGAGATGTGTCCCTTTAATAAAAAGGTAAAAATTAGCACTGCACCATGATAGTCTGCAGTCAGCTTTATTATACATGTTATGGTAGCAGCAGGTGATAATCAGAGCACAGACCTTTTGTAGGTCAACACAAAATGCTGCCTTCTCGTATCTTCCTGCCTTTACACAACTATAGATCTTTACAAATAAATTCCAAGTTGGCCCTAAAATAGGACCTAAAGATGTCTCTGTAAGGTTAGTCTTCCACTAGAGGGCAGTGTAACAGTTAATTCAAGCCTTGGTAATGGTAACACTGCACTGAGTTTATTATATCATGAAAAGCTATTAATCAAGATCTTTTTACTCTTGAAAAGATGCACAATATAATGATTTAATAAAAGGTGTTACGCTGAAAAATATGGCTTGTTACACA